CACACGCACACATACACACTACGTTAGTAGTACGTACTAGGTGCTTGGTCTTGACGCTTGGTGTCCGCCCCGAGTGCTAGAGATTCCGGGGTCAATCCCCGGTAAGTGCTGGGATTTTTTCACGTGGACGTGGACATCTAGTAATTCATCGTGATCTCTGGGTAGTGAGAATCGGTTTTTGCACTCGTAAGAAATCCCTTGGCAGTTGGAAATAGAAAAGAGTAGCCTAACGGCGCTGCCCGGGCAAAATTTTATTTAAAAAAAAAACTATCCAAAGTATTTCATGATTTTAGCCACTGCTACAGAGCCTGTGCACTGTCCTGAGCGTCTTCGGACTCATGCTTGAGTTAGAAGAAGAACGGAGCACTTTGGGGTTACACTGGTGTGCCTTATTGTTGATCCGTTGTCCAAAACATCAATACCTCAAACGTTAGTTGCGTATTCTACAGGACATCGTAGAACCTATCTTAGTATTTCTGTTTTTGTTGTTGTTGTTATTGTTGTTGTTGCTGTTTGTTACTTCACCAAGTAATTTTACATCAAGCACTTTACCATCGATCCTGAACATCTGGCTGTCAAAACCACGATTGTAACTAGCGATCAGCTAACAAATCGCTAGCCCATGAGATCAAAACCTGGCACTTTGGATTTACGAAGTCCGCTTCTAAAGCCGAAGACTCAGACATCAACACATCTACACACATTTAAGTCTAATAGAAACACTTACACAAAATCGCAAACACGCGAATGCAGAAACATTCTGAAACAGAAAAAGATGGAAAGACACGTAGACAGACACAGTAACAGGCACAGACAGACAGATTGATATAAAGATAGACAGACTAACACATAGGCGGACCTGTGAACAGATACATTGTGGTGTATGTCTACTTATTCTTAATGCAAACAGATATGAATTATTTCACCGTTAATACAGCTTTCTCGGCTTCGTATGTTAAAATTGTAAGTGTTGCTGTTTCTAACCATTTCCTATCATTTAATATTCCTTCTAATATGTAGATTATGCGTTTTTGTGTATTCCTTATTGTTCTGCGGCGAAAACACACGTCAATACTAAGATTCATTTGGCTCTGACGCAGACAAGAAGAGTTGAGTTAAGTTGAGTCAAGAATTGACATCACAGCACTCAGAGTTCCCATACTGATGGTACCGGTCACAATCTGGTTATATGTAGATAAGATGAGAATGTGCAGACAATTCAGGTTACAAATGTAGCTTATCAAGCTCCTTTAAAAATATATTAATCTTTTTTACTTGACATTTATTAATAAGTAAAGGAAAAGGTAAAGTTAGAAGATTGATTTTATTGCACCGGGTTTTATCTCAAATGGCCTAGTCTTTCTTCACAAAGCAGCTTCGCACAGATCACTGCCTCTGTAGCTCTGGCGACGATCCCTCGTGAGCTTGACGGCGCCGCCATGAAACGAAGCCTCAACCCTCAGAGCGCGAGGCAAACATCTTGACCACTTTTGCCACGGATTACACCCCCCCCCCCTCTCCACCACCCAACCCTTAACATAAAAAAGTACCGCAGCATCCTTGACCAATCTGCGCTAAGTCTTTTACAGACGATGTAAAGTGGTAGGGTTATTGATTATTTGCGTAGAACTAAGGCAGAGGATGCGTGTTTTACATTCTCGCATGCGTGCCCACTTCTCACTGACACATTTGATTCCCAATAGCATCAGCACTCTTGCTGTATCGACAGCTTTGTGCAGCACAGCGTGCAAAAACACAACCAATACAGCACTGTTGCACAAAGTTTGTAGTGAGTCACGTGACAATCACTTGTTGCAAACATGTGATAAATAACAGAATCATGTGACAATTGCTTGCTGTGAATTTGGTCTGTTCAATAACTGCTAACTGATATCTTCTGCTGGGCAATTAACATTCGCCGATGCTAAAGCAATGAAGATTTGTTCTTGTTGTTTACAAGTTTTCCCGCTCATGTTAAGCTTAGAGTGAGTGAATTAGTGAAGTTCCCGCTCATGTTAAGCTTAGAGTGAGTAAATTAGTGAAGTGGAACCCCACCAGGACCGCACATTTAGCGATTAACACCTGGTGACGCAAAGTGCAAAGAGATATACTATTCAAACGAGAATCTCGCAGTTACAAATCTCAGAAACTCTGTTAAACCATAAGGTTATACTAAGACCTCTGATAATTATTAAGTAATCTGTGGTCCATTGTAGGGCGAATGCCGCTGTGTACGTTAAGTTTAGAAACACAAACCCTTTTTAAAATTGTGTTTCGTCAGATGCAGCAGGTGAGTAATTATTGTTGAAAACAGGGGTGACTTAATTCACAAAAACGGCTGTTTGACTTCGTTTATGATTGTTGTGATTTTAGCGGCTGAAAAAGACTTTGGTTAAAACGTTCGCTTTCATTTGTTCCTGCCTTGCCCTGCCTAGTATAAGTGTGTACTGTCTTGAATTAATTCTTAGTGTAATTATAATACAGGCTGTTTTCGTTTATGATTGTGGGGATTTTAGACGTTGATAAAGACTGGTCAAAATGTCATGTTTTATTTGCCTTGCCCTCCCCAGTAAAAGTTTGTGTTGTGTTAATTTACTTATGTTTGTAATTATGACTTAGGACATCTTTCTTTCTTATACGAGCTGCATCTTTTAAAATACGGTTACCCCGATCGACTTGCCTCCCTATGTTTTATCGGCGCCTTTAAAAGAAGACTAGCAATGTAATCCATCATCCATTTCGAGAGAATTGAGTACGAAGGTCACGAGGCTGGTATTCTCATCCGGTAGACAAGATAGCGGCAAAACCCAACAAATCATCGTCTCCAAAAGACGTGAGCATAATTTTGTGAAAGTCCTAGGATCTGTGGATTAGTCAGTCGTACTTCTTCTGCTTCTTAGTGTTCACCGGTTGTAAACTCTAGCGGATTGCTTTGGTTGTTGATGCACTTCTTGGTCTTCATTTAGAACTTTAGTTCTGCATGCACATTCATTTTTATCTATCTGTCTCACTTGTGTGCAGACTTCGGGCTCCTTGCCTCTCAGACATGTGCACTCTGACTTAAAAGGAAACATCCCTGATTAGTCGTCTCCTACAACGTGCTCGTAAGGGTAGCAAAGTTCTTCAAAGTGGAGCCCCACAACCCACACGGGAAATCACGGAATACATTTCGTCTCTGGAGATGTGGATGTGTAGAATTATACTTCGTATTTACAGGAAATGTATTTCAATTAAAAAAAAAATCAAATTCAGTGGTGTTAAAGCGACTGGAAATGAAAAGAGAGTTGTCACAAAATAGAAAAACATATGTGCAAAATTAAAATATGAAATATTTCGAACATATTAAAAAAGTTATATATATATATATATATATATATATATATATATATATATATATATATATATATATATATATATATATATATATATATATATATATATATATATATATATATATATATATATATATATATATATACAGGTTGGTAAAGTTGGTGTTGCGATTAAGAGGAAGACAGAAATACTCATGGCAGAATAACTTTAAAAGATAGACAAACGTCAATCTGGGTGAACGTATTTCTCAGGCGTTGGACACAGCGTGTTGGAAATCCACCACAGACAACTTTCATTGTGGTTACGACACCTGATTGGTGATTGAGATGCTCAAAGGAGTTGAGTTGAGGTGAGTCAAGAATCGACATCACAACACTCTAGGCATTTCCATGCGTGTTCCGTTCTCATCTTCAGCAGCCAGCGCGGAGTTCCAATACTAATAGTACTGGTCGTAATCTGGTTATATGTCCGTCTTGTCTTTCCTTTGAGTGTAGTGAGCCCACCAGACACTCTAATGACACTCAGATGTCTCATTCTCTCCAGGCCATAATAATCTTGTTTCTCTTCTGAATCATTTGCTTGTTCCCAAAGGATTTTGACCACATATAGCCTTGTCATGTATTAGTTCACTACCCAGCACCAAGTAGTGCAGATCCCGCCAATCTGTCTGCCTGTTCATTTCCTACCACGCCGGCATAGCCTTGAGAAAAGAGCCAAAGTTTGCTCACTACTTGTGACCTTTCCAGTGAAGCTTGCCACTCTGCTCGAAACATCCCTGTCTTCACCTTTCTCAGCACGCTTTCAGAGTCTGTTACAATTACGACATGTGTATGCATCTTGTTCTCCAGACACATGAAAGCTGCAGTTACTGCCTCCCCATCCATTCTTGTGCTAGATGTTCCGGTATCCTATGCTAGGCTATCCTGCACCAACAATTGTCCACTGGCTTTCGCTACAAACCACTAAGCACTTCTCTTCTCTCTCAACACCGAACCATCTGTATAGATAATCAGATCATTTGGGCGAGAATTCTCGTGAATCAAGTATTGGCTTTCCATCCCTGTAGCACCCGCTGGCCACTTTTTGCTCAAGGGAGAGATTCAAAACACAAGTAGATGGTTGGATACGTACACAATTACACTAGTCTAAAAAAGCGATTTTACCGAAGATGGTAAAGATAGAGGTTAGGGCGTTAGTAAACGCGGTCGGTGTGACCACGACACTCACATAGTGCTGAACAGTCCGTACAACAAAGATCTTCCACCTTATGCTGGATGCGTGAAAATTGTTTTATAATTTTATGTTTATGATGCAATTTTAAAAAAAATGTATACATAAATTAATCGACGATGCTTTTTAAATTATTTATATCTTGTACTTTGCTTTGTTACTTATTGTACGATGAATGCTGTCAAAATCGAGTTCCTGTAATTTATTTATTACATTTCTTAACCGTGATTTTGGATAAAAAAAGAATAGGAACCATTGACTTTAAAACAGAAAAGAAAATAATGAAATAATTGACAATATTATTTATTTAGTTTCACAATTAAAATTTGAAACTATTTCTCAGATATACGTTGGCCCAAACTGCAAAGACGTCTTTCTTATTCGAACGACTCATTAACTGAACTTGTCTCGCCAAGAGAGAACGAAGAGCTACAACCATGAACAATCAGAATTTTGATGGAAGAATTAAAAATCTGGTATCCACTCTGCAGTCGCAGTGTTTCCACAGGGGCATTGGGGCGCTGAAGCAACTGTCATGTGTGTTCCGGAGAATGGATATAGACTATTCCAAGAAGATCTGTTTCGAGGAACTAGCCCAAGGTGTGAAAACGTACAACCTGAATTTTTCCAACAAGGACTTGCATGACCTGTTCACTGCACTTGACAGGGACCGTAATGGCCAGATTGATTTCAAAGAGTTCATGGATCTTCTAACTCCGCCGCTTAACGAACTCAGGGTCAGGGTAATCAATGAAGCCTTTGACAAGCTGGACGTGAATGGAGACGGGGCCATTCAGCTGGACGATCTGAAAAGTGAGTAGTGTTGTGTGCATTTGTGTGAAATATTGAGATGGTTAATAGATATAAAATAGTTGTTAGTGATCCCATTGCTCGCTGGCACCTTTCCGTCGTCCCAGACGATTGTGTTATACTGTGTTATAGAGATTCAAAAGAAGCACAACAAATTAGGCTCAAAAAGAAAATGCATCCGCTCCATAATATACAACATGGGCAGAATAGTAGTAACCATGTGTTACTTAAAAGGTAATGGTAACTATTCAGTAAAAAAAAAAAAAAAAACACTACGCAGAAGCTGCCAGATCAGCAGACCAGTGCTCTGTCCACACGACAGAACTTCCCATCTTGAGCAGCTGCCAACCAAGGCTAAGGACCTCTTCTTCTGAAATAGCATGAAGTTTTTAGGGTGCATTTTTTTTTCTGAGATAAGGCTAGTATCTCTCCCCAACTGTGCTTCTGGGGAAAGAGGCCACTGGCACGATGTGAGATGTCAGGTTTGGTAAGCGTCGCCCAGTATTTAGAGTTAACAGAAAACATATAGTATCGACTACGGTTACATTGTAGCTCAGCCATATCTGACCAGGACCTGACTTCTTATGCAATAGTTAATAGTATACAATCGTACTTTTACGGCTTATAGTTGTGAAACGATCGAAAGTGGTGCGCTTTTATTGAAATGTAGATATTAAACAGTATTAATGTACTTTATATATATATATATATATATATATATATATATATATATATATATATATATATATATATATATATATATATATGCATACACACATACCTGCACACATGTACATAAATATTGTCTCCCCTAAAAGCATGTCGTAAGAGTCGACTAACTGGGGACATTTCTACGAAGATGGAGTGCTTCTACCTGAGAGGCAATGAACAACAGTTCTGCATACAAATACGTCAGATCTGAGAGAGGGATGTGCATGGAACAATCAAGATCTAGAACAAAATCACAGTCTGGAGATGGAGGAACAACCAGAACTTTCCGCTAGAGTTTACAGCCTGTGAAAGCGAAGAAGAAGAATATATATATATTTTTTATTTTAATTTTATTTCGGGCATCTTTCTCGAGACATTTGTGCGTCATGAATTATTCTGCAATCACTACAGAAGAAAATAATTGCTTTTTAATTTATATTATATAGAAAAATGCTTAAAATTTTGACATACTGTAAACAGGGATCATCAAAGAAAACTATCAAAAAAGCAAAATGTTAGAGCGGCTTGTTATGCTGCCCATACGAATGCTATTGCGTGTAGAACAGTACGAAACAAAGATACAAATAAAAGTGCAAAAAAAAAAAATAATAATAAAAAATCAGTAACTTACAATTCTTAGGTTTTCGTTATCTCCCAACACTACGTTCAGCTCATGTAACCAGGGACGTCTTAGTAGCAGTATGGGCCCCTGTGCAAACCAGTGTGCTGTGGCCTCTATATATTTATTTAATTGTCACTTCAACAAAAAGGGTGTTGAAAAATATACACAATATGGCACAAAATGAAATAAATACGAACTTCATTCTACAAAAAGCATTTGCGAGATTTCTTTCACAGAATTGCTGTACATTGGCTTTAAATTAGTGGTGTTTATGATGTCATTTTCCATTCACGTCAAATGATGTGGCTCTTTTGTGGTACAAAGCACAGTTTTTCTTAGTTTCAGCCTTGAAAACTTCTTCTTCTCGTTTACCTGCTGTGAATTCCTGCAAACGGTCCCTGTGGTTTGTCCAGTCTTGAAAACGAAAGTTTGTTACCATCATTAGCACTGACACTCTGAGTGCAATTCCATTTTTCGGTTAGATAAATATTTTTATGTCAGATTGTACGAAATTATTTTTATTTACAGTGCTGGTAGAGTCTCATAATTTTCATTCAGAGCCACTTAGTGCTTGAGATACTAACGTTCATTTAAATTGTAATTATAAATTAAAGTCTTGAGATGCATATTAGCCTGATGTTCACAGTTTTGTTTAGTTCACCAGAAGCAATTTTTTTAAAATATGTGAAAAAACTTCTACTTGTATTGTCAGTTGAAAGAATAATGTCCACAGTAAAGAGGAACTTTTCGGTTTTATTAAGAAGTACCTCTTATGGCATCTCTGCTGATCCAATCATATCTATAAAGGTGCAGGCCTAATGTCGTCCCCCCCCCCCCTTTTCCCCTCTCCTTTCCCAGTCACTGTTATCTGTTTCTAGTAATCTGTTTTTAGAAACTTACTCCTGGCTTTGAAGTATTGCCAAACTAGTCCCTAATTTCCTAGAGATGGGATTTTTTTCTAAAAGGTAAACGTAGTTTCATAGCCAACGGGTCACCCCATAGATGCCCCCTTCCTACGCCAACGAAAATCACACCAAATGTCCACTATTGTCCCATTATCCGTTATCCTCAGCTTACAGTGTTGCGCGATGCAGATCAGAGCTGCTCAACGAATCTAGATTCAGGAAGATTCGTGACAACACGGATTTTCATATCCTGTGATTGAAAGATTTTTCTTGTTTTATTAAATTTTTCCAGCAATTCCTTACAAACAATTTGGGAAAGATTGTTTCCAGGTTTTCTAATATCTTTTTCTGAAACCACTGCTTCTCTCCCTGTATTCACTAGTTCTTCATTTTCAGCTGATAGGGAATCAAAAATATGTTATTTTTTCCTGAAACCCCCACAAAGAGAATGTATTACATTAAACTGTGCTGATGATCATGCGTCAGATATAAGCTTGACCATACATCTTTTCTTTAAGATGATACCATGACATTTCACCGATGAGTAAAACCAATAAAAAACAATAATAATAAGAACACTAATAATACAGATTCTAAGCCAAGTCAAAGAACTTTACATACTGTACACGTCACTTTGCTGCTTTTAATTTTCCCAAGTTCAGGTTTTGTCCAGCGCAATGGACATAGATGTCTCAGCGCTCGCGATACAGTATATTGTCCAGGTATTTTTGAGACATTATCGTATAACTGACAACGGCATTTTGATGGTGGAGTTATGTTCTCATTAAGAAAAATGAACAACAGTGTCTGTTAGATTCTTAGCTCCACGAGAAAAGATGCGGAAACCCGGTTCGTTACTGGGCAGCTTACCCATAGTACGTAGAGACCAGGTGACCTCGCCGGTCACATTGTCCTTTTATGTGGTCAAGGTCCTAGCAGAGTCAGACCATGGCCTGTCTGACTTGAAAAGCTTAGGGTCGCGCGAGGTTCCTCTCCTAATACATATATGGTTCTAGGGTTGCTGCCTGGAGAGGAGCTGGGTCGGTATGTGCCGGCCAAACATACGGAGAAAAACCACATACCCCAGAGCAAGTGTGGCCACTAGTATTTGACAATAGCCTTGATTCGTCCCTGTGATAGTTGTCGCACGCCAACCTGATACCAGTGTGTGCTGTTACAGCGTGTAGGAGCTCAAGATTGGCCTAGTTCACAGCTGCGGCATCAGGATTAAGAATCGCCAACCTGGTATTCAATTTAACGTCTATAACGTCTACGGGAGCAACGTAGCTTCTGCCTAGCGACCTGAAGGTTTTGGTTTTGAACCCGTCGCAAAGCGGATTTTTAAATTTGACACTGCGTTGCCATGACTTGATTAGCCAGCAGGTCCTTCACAGAACATGGCTTTCGTCACGACACGCTAGAAAGTCTCTCTTTCTCTATCAAATACTCCAGCCCTATTTGCTTTAATAGCCAGTGTATCTTCAATGTATCGATCCATGATCAAAAAGGTCTGCCACCGCCTCATTTCCCAGAAATTGTACCCATTATCACAGTCCCCTCTAGGCCACCTTAATGTTTAACATGGCCAAAATACATTAGCTTTAGAGACAGGATGCTGTTTATGAGCCATATATCCTGGATGTTCAGATCATACAGGATATCAGTTTTTCTTTTTCTTTTTGGTTCAAGGTATTCTAAGAATTATCATGTTTACTTCAATGACTGAAAAAGAGTCCATGACTCTTATCTATAAGTTGCCATGCAAAAGATGCCTGATCTCAAAATGTTTAACTTTCTTGCATGGGATGTGTCATGTGTTTTTTGTACTGATTAGTCTCTGCATTGCTAAAGCAAGTCTTGTTCGAACTGCTTCTGTGATGTCGCCAATGTTGTTCCCCATTGAGCCTAAATATTCTGTGACAGGTCTACCCAGCTTTAATGGGTGCCAGAAGTAAATGTGGTTGGCGTGATGTTAACAATATTACTTACTAAACACCTATTTATCTATGAAAATATGGGTTTAGCTTTATACTTTAAAATGCGCTAAGGATTAGAAAGTTACAATAATGTCGCTGACAAGTTGGGTTCAAAGTTTAGAGATAACTAAGGAAGTTAGCATAAAAGAAAGGTAATATTGATAGGTTATTTAGACCCAATAAATCAAAGGACCATCCGTCATTGCTGGTCCCAAGCACTGATGAAAAAGGAGAAGGGCTTGTACGTGAGTCCAACTACCAAGATTTTTCAAAGCAACAGAAACTCACAGATAAGGTCTCCATTCAGATCAATAATAAAGCACTGTGAGGTGCAGTGAGTACATCAGTGATAGTTAATGATGAAGGTTTAGAAAGAGAGGAGAGCAGAAAGATACTGGACAAATACATCTATCGACTGCAATAAGATAAGTAAGGTTTGGATATATTATTCACACTTTGAGACGAAATGAGCAAAAGAATTGCAAAACAAGCACTGAAATTGGAAACAAACGGTGGGAGAAAGAAAAAGAGGACATCCTAGGAAAACATTAAGAAGAACATCATCATGAGAGGCTAAAAATGCTGGGCTGAACTCTATGTCAGAAGTCGAGAAAGTTGCAAGCAATAGAGCAGAGCGGGCCAATCGAATGCGAGCCCTATGTGGCGTCTAGCGGCACATAAAAGAGATGATGATGATGAAATAAAAGGACACATATAATTAGAATAAATCAAGCGAAAAGAAGTAGCCTTGGGGTATGGTATGAGTTTGGTTCACTAAAAAAAAAAAAA